CCTTCTCAAAAGCTTTCAATTGCTCCACTTACTTCAAGAATTTCATCAGTTATCCCCTCATAAAATTTTTCTTATCTACTAAAAATTTTATTATTTAAAATTATACTCCTTTATTTAAAAATATAAAATATTTTTAATTCAATCACACATCAATAAATTTATTAATTGTCTTTAAATTAATATAATTTTTATATTTACTATTATTTAAATATGACATTTCATTTAAAAAGAACTGATTTAAATGGTTTGTTTATTAAAGTATTTTTTAAAAAAAATCATTGAGTGCACATTAAAAAAAACTAAAAATATTTATATTTTTAACATCTAATCTTAAAAAAAATGCATTATATTTTTAATTGAAGAAATTTTGTGTGTGTGTGATAACTTTAAATAGCAATAGTTTTAAAATGAAAAGGTAATAATTTAAAAATAAATTGTTTATGAAAAATTTTATCACAAAAAATGTTCATTTATAAATAGAGTTTTTATGTTATTATAAATTATAATGTTCTGTTTTATGCATTGTTTTTAATATTTAATTTTATAAACTTCTACCATTAATGTAATTAATTTAAATAGATTTTAAATTATTTTTATAAAATTATTAATATTTACTTGAAGTATAAATTATACTCCATTAATTTATTTTTTTTGGATCCGACAAACAACATATACATAATTTTACTAAATAATATTCAACATAAAACTTTTGGGTGTTTATTATCATAAGTTCCCATGAAATAACCTTAAATGTCATTCTCCCTAAATCACAATCCATGTGCATGTTTACAAATATCTCTCCATCATCGTCGTGAATTTCTACAATGTTGAGTCTATTATGGAGTGCCCGTAGAGTGATGAAAAGGACGCGCACTGTATTTTGTGGGCTGATCAAAATGGTTGGTTGTGAGATCATGGAGGCCATTTCCCACATCCTTTGAAGTTTTCATGGTCAATCTAAGTCCGCGTATCATGTGAACCTATGACTTGAATGTTGTCATGACTTCTAAAGAAGCATTGGACGCCAATAGCATTGTGACGTAGTCATATTATGCTTACACTCTTTACCATCCTTGCCAAGGCCATGCTAATATATTTATTCACAATAATAATAAGAGGTCATGAACTCACTGACCACAAGGCACTTTGAAGATTGAGAGAACTAACCTATGCGTATTGAGTTTAAAATAATTGAATATATAAAAAAATAATATAATCAAGCCCTCTTCCAACACCCTAGGTAATCATTAAATATTATTTTATTTTTTTGGCTAACTTCAATTATAATCTTAAAAAAAATAAGATTTTCAATTTTATCTTATTTTAATTTTATTTTATTAATAATAAAAAGAATTTGAATATTCTAACCAAATCCATTCAAGGTCAATTTTGACCCAAATTTCTTCGGGCTTGTTCAGGAGGATTAAGTAAGCTCAAATTAAAAACAAAAATTCTAAACTTCCAAACTTGACTTAAGATTTTTCAAATTTATTTGGACTAATATATCAAACTTATTTCAAATTAGTGGCTCTAATGTGGAACACATTGTTTCACTTAAATTAAATTGCCCTGCTTATTTCAATAAGCCAGACTGGTGGATGTGAATGTGGTCTCATTCAGGTCGAGAAAATGTTGGGTGGAACAAAAATGTGAATGTCATCTCACAAGTTTTGACTTTTTGAAGATGATTTTAGTTTGTTCCTTGTACTAGAATTTAAAGCGCTCCAAAAAAAAAAATTAAAGCATTAGACAAACTAAAAAATGTCTGATGCGATGCATAGGATTTAGTGAGGAGATGAGGAGATTTATTTTTTTAGGTCTTTAGACATTATGTAGGTATGTATATTTACGAAAAGTTTGGGCTTTAATAGAGTGTGACTTTGATGTTGTATTTAATGTAGATTTATTTATAATAGAGTCATTATACATTATAATTGTTCTATTAATAAATTTCGTCATTCTTTTCTAGAATAAGAGTAATGCAGTAGACCTTTGTAATTTTATTTTAACTTTTTTCAAAAACTATACCTTTGTATTTGTTGCAGCTTGCAGATGATTTCTAGAATAAGAACATATGCATTAAAACCTTAGTTTAAATGGTTTAATAAAACATAAGATGAAATAATTACAGGAGGAAAGAAGAAACGAAAATCATGTGTGTGAAACTCACAAAACAATAAATCTCATTCATGTGTCCCTTTTTTTTCTTAAATTTGAAGAAAACTTAATTTAAGAAATCTTGATTATTCTTACAAAGAATAAGAGAAAATCTTGGTTAATAAGTCATAATATTGAAATCATACAAATGCACAATCAATAATTGCATAAAATGTAATAATTTATGTGAAACCAATTTGAAATAAACCAATAAAACTTAGAATATAAAGTTGGAAGTGAGATCAAACATTCATCCAATGTATCTATATATTTTTACACAACATAGGATTGAGACAAGTGAAACATAAATCTAGATTTTACTTATTTGAAGAGCTTATAATCTATTGAGTTTTATTAAAAATACTATAGCACAGTTTTCCCCAATTTAAAACTTTCTCAATGATAGAGTTAGAAAACATTGACAAATTCTTACTTTCAAGGGATTTTATGGCCTATGAAGAAAAAAAATAGATATGATTTCACAACAAAACATTTATTATCTATTATTCATACAAATGTATGATAAGTTATTTTAATAACAATTTTATTTTTTTACAATTTATTACTTATCTGCATATTATTTTTAAGAAATAATGATATTTAATAAAAATTTATATGTTATATAAATTTGTATACATTTAACAACATTTGAAACAAAGGGACCTCAAAAATAAACTAACATAGCTCACATATTTGAATATAAATATATATATATATATATATAACAAAGGAAACTCCTAATATTTGAAACAATTGGATTCAATGAAAATGAAATCCTTAAAAATTGAAGTTAAGAAAATACATAATCCACAAATAAGTAGGAATAAAACAATTACAAACTACAATTATTAAGTTACAAGCTGTAGTAAAAGGAAATGATGGAATTATTTGCTTGCACCAAGTATGTAAAATCATATATAAAATTTGCAACCTAATGGCAATTGCATGGAAAACAAAAAGTGAAAGAGGATAACAAAAGGGACTCAATATATCAAATGCGACCAATGCATAAAAAATAAATATAATTTAAGACAGTACAATTTAAAAGAGAAAACAATGATCATCTTTAAAAATATATTAAAATAAATAGCCATCTATATCTCATTATAAACCTACACAATGACAAAGTAAATGTAAAGAGATATTAGTGATTAAGATACAAATGGAAGTGGAAAAAAGTTAAAAATTATAATGCCAATTCTACTTAAACTGATTTTATGGTTGGTCCGATGCCTTTTCTTAAGGCACATAAAAAATATGCTTCTTGTATAAGTTAAAGTATATTTCCTTCACAAGTAAATCAATCTATAAAATAATATATCAAAAGAAAACATGATGATTTGTTGTGTGTAAATACACAGGAAATTTTTTAAATTATATTAAAATATAGTAAGAAAAATAGCAACTTCATTTCATTTTATAATACATTCATAATTGAAAGTATGGTAACAACAATAGTATGAATAAAACATGCAAAGTTATATCCTAAAAAGAGAAAACAATATAATAGTCAGCTTTACATGTTATAAATCTTCAATACTTAATCTCTTTTTTATCAAAATATATAAACAATGTGTTTGTAACATTTATACTTGCTTTGCTCATCTAAATTTGTACCACAAGACCCTCCTTGCTTCTGACGTCTTCTTTTCTTAATAGGCATGATGAATCTGCAACGTCGTTGTTTTGTAAGAAAACAATCTCTTTCATGATGAAGCAGCTGTTGCCATTAATCAATCACAAACACAATAATATATATAGTGACTAAGCTTTTCATTTTTTATATACCTCGTGCACTATAATTTTCCACCCAAAAAAAAAAATAACAACGACAACACAAGAAGACAAGAAACTCAAACTTAAATGTTCAAACAATAATACAAGAACCTCAATGAGCAAATATGAGGTGTACAAATCGTGGGAAAAACCATCTTGAAGCCTCATAGGTGTTGAATTGGATTGATCTAGACATATAACATTTATACAAAAGAAGGCTTCATAAGCTTTGCATTCTTTCAAAGTAGCACAAAAAAACAAAAAAAGAGAGAGAGAAGAAGTTGAGTCCATAACGATTGAGAGGTTTGAACATATACAGAAATTCCTAATTGTAGTTGAGACCTATATAAAATATATAATACATAAGATCAAAGGAATTCTGAATCATTAATTAGGTGCCTCCTCGTGTGTTACTTTTGAAGTGCCTACAACCAAGCCAAGAAGTTAAGGTTCTAATGCTCAAAAAGTTATTAAGAAGGTTGCTCGTGAAGATCAGGGGTAAAAGAAAGATGAAGACTGTAACATACTAAGTTGCAAACACTAAAATTTTAGTGTTTAACAACGGTGATTTAGTTAAAATAAGTGATTTATAAATTAATAATATTTTTGGAACATTAATAAAGTTTTTAGACTTTTGAACAGCTTGAAAAATGAGCTGAAATGGCATGCGGGTTAATCAAACTCGGGCAGTTGGCCATATTGGCAAGTGGTGTTTGTTATGCCATGTATCGCGGCGTAAGGTGCATGGCCAATTTTTAGGTTAAATCAGACACAAGATTGCGTCTAATGTCAGAGGGAGAAAAGAAAGAAAATGTGAGGAGTGACAGAGAAAGAGCTTGTGGGTGCCAGGACTTGATTTTGGGAGCTATTTGGAGGCATTTTGGGCAAGATTCATCATTGGGTAAGCTTCATATATCTCTCCCTCCCCTATTATATGAAATTTCTAAGTGTTTTGAGTAATGTGGGACTTGATTTTGTGTTCCCTTAGGTTGTAACAAAACTCATTGCTTTAATTAAGATTTTGGAGAGTTAAATCAGACTTCTAAACCTTAATTTATGGATTTTATAATGATTCAAAATTTTTGGTTAGGGTTTGGACAAACCTGGAGTGAAATTTGAGAGTTTTGGAATAATGTGGGTAAAGATTTGAGCTTATTTAAGTATTTAGATAATAAATGGGATTAATGGAATGTGTTAGGAGAGTTGATGGTGTTAAAGTAAAATTTTAAATATAGTGGGTACCTCAAATTATGTTAAAAGGGGGTTAATTAGAATGAGAATTGATGATTTAATATTTAATCTTGTAGATTAACTATTAGTTGAGCTCATTAAGCTTGCGGACACTTGTGGAGCTAAGTTTTCACTATGATAACCCTTTTGTGTCACACCCTAGTATTAAGGGTATGACTAACACAGAATATGATATACACTTACATTCCATAAGCCTTAATTAATCAAGAATTAAACTAAATTATCGATATATGATTTATAAAGTTCATAAAGTACTACACATTTTATAAAAGTTTTGATAGAATCCCTCAATAATTAAGACCTTCCAAAGTTTTTATAGTGACAAAACCTGTTAGCCAAACCAAAAAGGAGCTTGGCTCCACACTAGTAGATTTATACTAACAAAATAAAATTAGGACCTAACTATGATATATGTGGAGTGCTAAATTTATAATTTTAGCATAATATATAATTACATCAACATGAATGGTCAAAGAGTGTTTCCACTATCCAAAAAACAATACTGCCCCTCGATGATCAACGGGAGGCACAGGGTCAGCTACAATATCTAAGACCAAAGAAATTTTTGGTGAGTAGCATCCTGATCGAGTTTATAAATTATAAATTAATAAATAAAATAAAAATGTGAAAATAGTAACTAATAATTTAATTTAAAAAATCAAGGAAATAATGAAACACTTGATTTAATTAACAATAAATGACAAGTTTGCTTGATGGTAAAATCGTGGAACCAACAACAATATTAGAACTAGATAAGTTTATAAAAAAATTTATAATATATATAAAATTTCAAGTATTGATGCAATTTTTTTAAAAAATGCCTTTAAAGAAATTAGTATAAAATGATAAGTTTTAAGCTCAATCTAGGAGGGCTTTATCAGAATGAATAACAAGCGTAGACAAACAGTTCACGAGGATAAGTAACATATCCAACGTGGCAAGAAGCCATGAAAAACAGGCACAAGCATAAAGCTCACAAATAACAGGCGTGAATTATATCCACGAAACTACATCCTCCATTCCATGTGTGTTGGTCAGCACATGGGGCTAGCATCTCCAATACCCTCTGTTAGCTAGGTGTACCATGGCATGTCAAGGGTTAACAGAACTGTCGTTAACATCCAATATTTTAAATTCAGTCTCCCTAATTAAAATCAAGCGTGTATGGAGCAAGAATAAAAATTTCAAAATTTTTCACTTTCAAATAAGTTGTTCAACAGTCGTTTTCCATTTCTTATATTCATCCTTCTATCCTCCATACACGAATTGTTATATTAAAAATTTTCATATCAAACATAGAATTTATTAGGTAAGTTATTTTTGAGACCTAATACCATTTGTCATATATCAACTTCAATCATTACTTGACAATAACATAAATCATAGGAAAAATCAAGAAATCATCATTTATAAATCAATTATTATAAAAAATAATTTGCAAGACTATTTATACCACCTATAAAAGAATAATATTAAACTTTAAATAAAGAAATTTTATAAACATTTTACTAGAGATTTATTCAAAATGCTACCCACTCACCTGAGAGTTTTCAATAATCTTATAGTTAGACTCCCTCAATTTCATGCTTACTTCAGTCATACTCCAATTTAACCTAGCATTTAAACCAATAACCTTTATGTCATTATGATTTTCCTTCTTCATATAAGCAAGTGAATTAATATTCAAACTCTTCAACAATTCTTTAAATTTTTCCATTAACTCCTCAAACTCTCGCTAAAGACTTCCATAAATTCTATCAAGTGATCAACAACACTTAGCAACATTTAGCCCCAATCATTAACACAACTCCTAATCCAAGCTTAACAAACTCTTACTCCCACCAATTTTTTCTTTCAAGTATTCCTACAAACAATATAAGAACATTCACAATTAACTAAATTATATCACAAGCATCAAGCAAAATCAACAATTTTCAATATCTAATTTCTTCACCATATTTTCAGCTCAACATAATAATAAATTACCCTCCAACAATAACCAAAACAACACCTAAGTCTTCCTACCAATGTCAAGACAAAACTATTAAAGAACGGAGCACCATCCTCGACCAGTGAAGGAAAAAGAATGATTCACGTAGCTATTGAAATCAAACGAGAAGAAGGAAGAATCAAAATTTTACCTCTACTAAAGTGCAGTGGAAGCTGTCACATTTCAGCTCATGGACCACCGAAGAAGAGAAGAATTCCACCCAGCTATTCTTTGAAGAGGGTGGGAAGCAAAAATCATTAACCAAAAAATGAAAAGACTTAAGCTTATAATACACACATACACGAACGTTTAGTAGTTGAGAAGGAAGGATGATGAAGTCAAAATTCACACACTCACCAACAATAGCCTCAAAACAAAGAAGGAAAGGAAATGAGCTGCAATATTTCTCCTTTACTATGGCATATGGATGAGAGTGGAAAAGGAACAGACGAATGACAGTGAGGAGAAGAGAAAGAATAAAGAAGAACAACTAGGAGGAGAGAAGGAATGAAGAACGATGGCGAGGAGGAGAGAAGGCTGAGAACGCGTGAAGATTTTGAAATTTCTCGATGCTCTGGAGCTTAAATCACAGAGGATAGAAGAAATATCTAAGGATTATGAATTGGGGAATATTACTAAAAAGAGCATAAGGAAAATTACAATAGAGAGCACAATAAATATTACAAAAAGGGCACAATTTTTTTTATAAATTAAAACAAAATAAAACTAAAATTTTACTTAGTAGAATTTGAACTCTAGGCCTTTAAGGAAATTAGTAGCATAATTTTTACTAAACTATCACTCTTCAGTTGCTATAAAACTAGTTTAAATACATACCAATTGAAAGAACCTTTTTCTTTTTTTTCCTTCTTTTCTTTCTTTCTTTCTTTCTTTCTCTTCCTTTTTTTTTGGAGTCATTAAATTTTGTGACAAAAGAATTGAGGCAATTGAATTGTCTAAACTCTCCATTTACGTGTTTGGATGGTTGTGTTGCAATTGTGAAAGCTACTATTGCTTTAGACTAGTATAGTATTAGTATGAAAAATGATTATGCTTTAGAAACTGAAAAATGATTATGTTTTAAAAACTTTATGTGAAGTGGGATGAATAACTATGTTTTGCACAATTGTGGTTTCGATGGTTTTATGCTAGATCCTATGTTTATATATGTCTACTTGTGAAATTGTATGATTTATGATGGAAATGATTATTCAAGTGTAAATTCATATGTTTATGGCTATGTGTGGAAATGTTAAGCATATGTTTTGCATGATCATTGTGAGAGGATAGGAATTCATTCTAGTATTACTATTCAGGAACATTGTTTTGAAATTCATATGGTACACCGGTACTGTGGAGGCCACGGTACACAATTCTATATTTGTTTGGAAGTTCTAGTACTATTTGAGATAAATTGAGTATACGACACCTCGGGTATTCATGGAAAGGGAGAATTTATTATCCATAGCAGGTGAAGGTGCTTTTGGCCAGAGCTACCTCCTATGATTGGTAAACTTGAGCCTATCCAGTCACATGAATCTAATTCTATCGAATTGTTAGCCCACAAATTCAGTTAGAGAAAATAAGTCCATAAGGCAGTATGTTGATCATGCATATCTCTAATGTATAGCCATGTGTGTATGTGTAACATGATATGTATGGAATATGTATATTAAATTCCACTTCACTTACTCACTAATTGTTCTCACACATGAGTATTTTGTTTAAATTATTTAGTTATTGAGTTCTCAACTCATCTCATAGTTACATTTTACAGATAAAGGCTCTGATAAAAGTAAGGGGAAGGAAGGGGCTATCAAGTCCTGAAGAGCTTTAATTTGTATAACTTTTCTCTTTTTTAGTAAGTAACAAATTTGTATTGATTATGCTAATTTAGGATCATATGCCATTTTGTAGTCACTTACATGAGATTTTGTGTAAATGTGTGTATCTCAGCCTAAAATGATGTTTCTGTGTTGAATGGGATGTAAGGGGTCGAGATATTAGTGCACATGATGTTTTTGTATTGTCTATGTATTGGAATGGCCAAAATGATGTTTATTGTGAATTGTTGTCACCCTTTGAATTCATTATAGAATTAGGGTTTTGGAGGCTAATTTATGTTAGATTATTTTGGATATTGTATAAATGTTCTATTGATTGTTTGTAGTCTATTTGAGTTAGTTCAAGTGGTTCTAAAGTTATTGGCACTATGTTTGTGAGTTTAGATACCCTTATAGTTGTTGTGAAAGGAAAATGTACCATTTTGTGTTCGAGTGTCTAACTTTTAAATGGTTCAGTGTTTGGGTGTGAGATCGATACCAATAGCTAAGTGGCTCAAAGAGCTACATGTGAACACTTGAATCGCTCAAATTAAATATTGAATGGTAAATTGACACACTCTGAAAGTTGGTCATGAAGTGTTATCATCACAGCAAAGGGACGTGGTCCCTCTGTGCCATGTCATGGTGGGTGATGCTTGTGTTGTAGTAAATGGAGCAATTTTTGAAATTTTTAAGATTGTTCCTTTGATGCTTTTAAGGGTTGTAATTAATGTTTATGCTTTTGTTACCATAATTAATTTATTTTCAATTATAGTTTGAGCTCAAACATCTTTTAAAAAGAATTTCTTAAGATCCCAATCTTTTAAACTAATTTTATAAACCCTTGTATTATGATAACCTTATTTAAGGAATTTAATTAATTTTAGTTATCATAAAGGTGTGTTATGTCTCATGTTTTGTGTATTTAGTAATGTCAAGGAAGACATTACAAAGAGGCAGGCTTTAAGGCACAACTATTTTTAAGGGAGTTGTGAAGATTGCTAAATCTTATGAGGAAACTATTAAGATATTGAGGTAGGTACATCTTTAAAAAAATTGGTCGAAGATCAAAGTAAGATGCCTTCACCTCCCCTTACTCCTACTCATTTTGGCACTCACCTAGCCTTGAGTACAAGTACACCAACTTAATTGCAAAAGAGTTATCCGATAGAGCCAAGTGATACATCTTAGTCTACATGACCTCTTCTTGTGTGATTGTGCATAAACCACTACTTGAAGGACTTGAGCAATATAAGAAAGATCATCATCCTCCTTCATGGATGGAGAATCCTTAGCCTTTCACAATGCTTGCCTCATCAAGTGAAATTACATTTTTGAGTCCTCAAGTGTAAAGTACTCTATCATGGGCAAAGATGGAAGCTATAGCTCAAGCAATTGGACCTATTGAGTAGTAAGCAACTTCTTGAGTTTTTCACTCTAGTCACTCTAACTCCACATTCCCAAATTGATGAGAAAAAGAGGGAGAATGATGTAAATTTAACTATTGAGTCCATTTGTTGCATTTGAAAAATGCGACGTGGATGGGACGCAAGAGCAGAGGTTCCGACCTTTAGGGCAAAAACCGGCTGAATGGAAGTTGCCACTAAAATTTTAAGAAAAATCTTGAAAAACTGTTTAAAAAAGAAGAAGGATGGACTGCAAAATTAAAAAATAGGTTTGGAAGTTGATTGAGTATGGAGAAGGTGTTAAGCACCCCACAACACCCGAATGGTTACTTGAAATTTGTTGTGCTATATTAATATAGTTTTAAAGTTATTTTAACTATTCCTTTTTTATTCATGCATTTGATATAAAAATGATAAGAATTAAGTGAAAAATATTTATTTATTTACAAGGGAGGACTTGACTCAAAATTAAACTCTAAGGCCTATGTATCCTGTGATAAGGATTAAAGTTCACATAATTTGGGATTAAAAATTGTTGGTGAAAATATTTTTTTTAAAGAAAAATTAATTAGAAATAATTTACCATTTTGCAAATAAAATAATTTCTAAAATTTTGATATGTGTGTTTTAAAATACAAAAAGTAATTTAATTTTAATTATTTTCTCAATTTTTAAATTTTTGGAATAAAGAAAAGAAAAGAGTTTAAAAATATTTTTTTATGTTTTATGATTAAAAATTTAACTGTTATACCTGCATAACCTTATTAGTTCATACGGTAATGAAATTATTCTAAATATCTGTGAAGATTCCAAAATCTCACACAATAAAAGAATTTAGCAACCTAATTTATTTATTTATGTTCTTATGTATATTTTTAAGTATTAATAATAATTTTTTAAGCATGTATGTACATATACACTTTTTCAAAAAAAATTAATTATCATGCCTGCAAAGCCTTATTAACTTATATGGTAATATGATTATCTTAAATATCTACAGAAATTCTAAAATCTCACACGATAAAAAAATTAAATTTATTTAAATATATTTTTTATTAATTTACTAGATTTATTATGTATGTATATAATTTACATATTTCTTTAAAAACTTATAATTGGTAAATATGTTATATCTACAGAGTCTTATTAACTCATACAATAATACGATTATCTTAGAAGTCTATGAAGATTTAAAAACCTCACGTGACTAAAAGATATAATTGGTAAATGTGATTACAATTTAAATACATTAATTTAATTAATTAATTTTTCTAAATTATGTATTATATCATTATTTACAAAAATCATTTATTTATTATAGAAATTGAGAATAATGACATTTATGAGGATTTATTATCCCATACAATAATGTGATTAATTTAAGTCTCTATAAAGATTCTTGAAATCTCACATGAGACTTAAATAAATTATTAATTTAGATTATGAAAAGGGAGTTAGTTTTAATGATAGTCATTTTAATATACACAAATTGAATCTTCATATTTGCGAAATCTTATTAATTTAAATGGTAAATGATCATTTTAAATGCCTATGGAGATTTTAAATTTCTCTTGTAATATTGGTTATTTAAGAATATCCCTGTCTTGTTGTCTCATCTAAAAATTATTGTATTTCACCCTACAAATGAACTCTAAAAATGATAATTTAAAGTTTTATACATCAAATTACACATGTGGAGAGATATGGATGTAAAATTAAGCTCAAGAATGCCTCTGTATAGGAAAAAAGAAAAAATCACCAAGTAAGCTATAAAAATTGACATGTGGTTTATTAACCAACTCTCAAAAACCAATGTAATCAAATAAGTAAATGAGATCTAAAATCCTAAGAATTTTGTCTCAAACAACAGTAAAAGTGTTATAGATGCAAAATTTCATATTAAAGTCACTTCTGTGTCAACATATAAGAATATATGAATCAAGCTGTAACAATCTAATAAAGGAAAACTTTTCATGAACAATATGTAAAAACCAGCATATTTGACTGTATAAACGGGTTCCAAAAATAATGAAAATTTTAGAGATTAAACTAAACAGGAGAAAGAATATCTATGCAAAATATCAGGCAAATACTATGTAAGTACATATAGAAGACAACAATAGTAACAGCCTAAACAATGAACATGAAATTAGAGGAGTGGATAAGCTCAAAGTCATTACTTATAAGTTGTTAAATGAATGACAGCCTAGGCATGCTTCGCCTGTGTCCTGTGAGCTGAACCATCTTCTCTTTAACCGCCTCTCTAATAAAGTCAGCCTCTAAGTTCAATTTTTCTAGTGTAAATACAACCTATGCATACTTG